CTGATCCCTGGGGAGAGCAAATGTGGAAACAAGATAGGAAGTTAGGACAGCAGCTTAACAGAGCACTATGGGTAGAGATGGAGGCAGGAATGAACAGATAAAAAGAAACCCCTGGACATGGCCACTCAGCACTGCTTGTAGCAGTCAGGCAGCATCACGACCAGTGTGACCACAGATGGATGGAGCTAAAACCTGCCAGCCACAGGTGCGCACAGGCACAAGGGTAACAGGAAGGTAGGAGGCAGGGAGCAGTGCAGATGCTTCTGCCTTGTGCAACAGGGAGCCAACTATGCAGCACGCATGGGATGGGAGGGGAGCAGGAGGGGACACAGCCTTTTTTTCCTCACCAGCCTGCAGCATGTATCCCCTCTATCAGTCCTTACGTGTTGCATTTCCTGGGGAGAGCATAACCCTCCAGACCTGGGCGCACCGCAATGTTGCTGATGATGTTGCGGCAGCTGCGGCACTGGATAGATATTCTGGTGGCTTTGGCTCTCACAGGGGTTGCTGCAATTACAATCCCAGGGATCTTCACAAGGTGGGACATCTGGTCAGACTGAAAGGGAAACGGAAGACAAGGTGAAAAAGTCGTCGCTGGAGGATGGACAAGAAACTAAAGAAGAAATACAGTTCATTCTTAGCTACACGTCCCACAGTCATGGGACTAAGGTACCACAACAAAAAAAGCCTGCACAACGTCACTCTTTTGCTCTACAGTAGTAATGTTGCATTTGATTTCAAAGCAATAAAGGACAAAACACTCCATGCAGAACATCACTAACAGCAATAATGTCCCCACAGCAGAAATCAGCCGTAACAGTCCTTTACAGTCAGATTTAAGTTGCAGGGTACCCCTGCCTGTAAAGTAGCATACAACCCATGTCCTGAACTATGTGGTAAAGTACCAAAAGCTTCCCTACAATCACACCCATACATAAGCAAGCCCTGCCAATCGCTGCTCAGCAGGGCAGCTGATTCACCTCACCTTTAGGCTACGGATGTTGGCTGCGTTGGCATCTGATATCAACATCACCTGGATGTCTTGGAGAGTTTCCTCCCCTGAAGGGCGAGGACGAGTGACCTCATCTGCGACTTCTTTTGCTGCTTCTTCCAACTACAAAGGGAACAACTAGGCTATTATGGGTATATTGCAGTATATCCTCAAGGTTGCTCTGACGATGTGACAATGTTGCCAGGTTGCCAACCTCCTCCATCCTTACCAGCTGCAGGTGCTCCGCTGGTTGCTTGTACAGATAGTCAGCAAGATCTTCATCAAAGCTGGCCAAGTCTTCCATCTCTACCTCCACCCAGTACTGACTCAGATTATAGTGCCGTTTAAGCTCATCCCTGGAAGACAGTAAGCAGTAAAGGATGGTGTAGCAGAAAGCACCAGTCACCCATAGTGACCTTATAACAAGCGTAAAGCAGAGAAGGCAGGTTCTGCAGGGAGTCCTTGGTTTGGAAAGCAAACAGGGAAAATCAAGAGAGTGCCAAGAGAAACACAGGGGGACCTGGGCAAATCTTTCACCCAAACCCACTTTTAAATGTGATGTAAGACCAGGGACACCAGTGCTTACAGTAACAATGTAAAGTATAGCACTAATTGTTCACTAGAGTTACATGACTAGATAAGCAATTAGAAAACACCTCACAGTATAACACTCATTATACCCAAAATATGATTTTAAAAGAGGAAGCAATAGCATAGGAGGCAACATCCTCCTTAAAAAGGACAGGGTGCATAAAATTCAGAGATGAAAGATTGTCCCAGCCCTTGCAAGATACATGTCCACGTTCTCTCACAGTTGTTGTCTCCAAACTGCATAGGCAGAAGGATGGCCAAGAGCCCTTCAGTCTCAGAAGGCACACACGGACAGTGCTGCACTGATTTTAATGAATACAAGACAAAACTCCAGACCAGAAAGCCCTAGAACTTGAAGACAGACATTGAATTTCAGAAGTAGGTACAAGCTTGGCAGTGCAGATCCCTCTATTGCCACCTCTGCCACTGGCTGGCTGCCTAAAAATTTGAGAGAACACCAGACCTCAGTTTGTGTATACAATTAAATGAACAACATTTTTATACCGACAAAGAGCTCTTTACAGTCCATGGGAAGAGAAAAGCTGACATTGCTATTATACATCTGGGGCATGTGTAGCAGGAGGGAGGTTAACAGCAGACTGGATGTGCAAAGAGGAGCGGGTAAGGCACAGAGGGACAAAAGGGGTCAGAGCAGCACCTGTATTTGAAGGTGAAGCCTGTTCGGTCCGTGCCCACCCGGTACTGCCGCAGAAACTCCTTGAACCGCCTCTGCAGCTGCGACTTCCGAATCTGCCCCTCGTCCACCGACGCATCGCCCCCAAAGCTGTCGCTGTAGTAAATGCCGGGGTCATCGAAGCCGGACATGGCAACTGCTGCTCCCTGAGGGGCGAGAACGCGCGGTCAGCCTCAGCCACCTCCTTCTCCGCACTAAACGCCGCACGGGATCCTGCCCCCCCGGCTGCGCTGCACCCACGCACCCGCGCAGCCCCC